GCCAGCAGCAGGTGAAGCGGGACACAGACCGGGCCCAGGCATATCTGCGGCGGCAAGCAGAGAGTTAGGTGAAGCTTGGATTGACTTGACTTGACTTACAGAGCGGATTCGGAGCCAGCGAGGCTCATACACGCATTACGGCACCCAACGGGCGGCGGCGGCGGCGCTGCCCACAGGCGGGCGGCCAAGGGCCGCCCCCAGCGCCTGGGAGGGCTGGCAGCCAGTAAAGCTTCCTGAACGTTCAGGCACTTCACTTCTTCCCGCGGCAAGCGCTTTAGCCTCCAAACAATCGAGGGCACTTACGATCATGGCGCTTGCAGCTCCTGGATGGTCGTTTGTGCGTGTGGTGCAGGTTATTGTTGAAGCGACGCCAGTTCTGGTGGCCTCGGTGCCCCAGGCGATTCTGAAAGCCCCAGTATCCGTACACGAGTTGTACAGACAGCCATCCCACTTCCCCAGCCCCGCGATCGGCCAACCACGAAGACTGGCAGCAATGATGGCTTGAGCGGCAGCCACCAGCACAACATCAGCGGCTCGCGCTATGCCTCCGCTTCTCAAGCCTGGCGAGGTGATTGAGGGCGAGCAGGGGCGGTGGCAGGTGGAGAAGAAGATCGGCGAGGGGCAGTTCAGCGAGGTGTACCAGGTGCTGGAGCTGGGGACGCAGGAGCAGGTGAGGAGGCAGGCGGGAGACGGGCGGCGTCGCCGTTGCTCATCGCCGCCACACTCGCTGCCGCAGCACGCCGCGCTGCTTGCAGCGACGGCTGCACGCACGACGGGCCACAGCATTGCTCCCAAAGGCAGGCGCCAGCCTGCGTGCCAGCGTGCCGCGCGCTGCCGCCCGCGCTGCCGCCGCCGCACCCCATCCTGGCTTGCGCGGTGGCACCCGTGCTGCAGCGCGCGATCAAGATAGACAAGAAGCGGGATGTGCAGACAGTCAAGGGCGAGTACAACACCCTGCAGCGCCTGCAGCAGAGCTGCAAGCAGGTGGTGCGGGTATATGAGGCCGGAGATTACCCCCACCCAGGCACGCTCCACACTGCTCGGTGCTGCTGTCCCGCGCCTGCGCCTGCGCTGCGCCTGCGCTGGCCGGCTGGCTGGCGGCCAGGCTGGGCAGCAGGAGCGCTGGCAGGAAGGCGGCATCGAGCAGCGTGCCATTATGCGCCGCCCTCGACCCCCATGTCTGTTGTTGCGTTGCGCTGGCGCTCGGTCCCCATCCAGCCCGCCGCCGTGTGCCCCCCACCCGCTGCGCCCCGCAGGCCCCACCTCCCGCTGCTACATGGTGATGGACCTGCTGGGGGACAACCTCACACACATGCGGCGCACAGCCATGGGGGGGCGCGCCAACCTGGAGGCGGCACGGGTGGGCGGGGGTGGGGCTGCGGTGCTGGGGATGGGGCTGGGGGCCAGCCATGGATCGGCATGGGTGGCGGAGGGGAGACCGAGCGTGGCGCTGTGGCGCTGGCCAGACACGGCATGCCCTTGCGAGCTTGCCCTGCTCTGGCAGCCAGTCCCCCGGAGCCTGCCGCCTCTCAATCATGAGCTCAGCCTGCCACACTGCCCTGCCAGTTGGCGCATCAGCCTACCCTGCCTGCCCTGCCTGCCTGCTCTCCCTGCAGGTCATCGGCTCCAGCATGCTCAAGGCTCTGGAGGGGGTGCACAGGGCGGGTGTCATCCACCGAGACGTCAAGCCCGCCAACTTTGTGGCGGCGCCGACGCACGCCGCAGACCCCACCACGGGTGTGTGTGTGGCGGCAGTGTGTGTGTGTGTGTGTGTGTGTGTGTGTGCGCGCGTCGGCGGCGGTGGTGGTGTGCCGTGGCGGCTGCGCGGGCACCTCCCGCCTGCCCTGCCTGCATGCTCCCCAGGCCCGCGCCTCGAACTGCCGCTCCTCCTGCTCGTCCATGCCTCCCCCGGTCTCCCCCTCTGCTCAGCCACGACAAAGGCTCCCTCCCTCCCTCCACTCCCCGCCCCGCCCCGCCCCACCCTCCCTGCCCCCTGCCCCCCCGCCCCTGCAGCCACCTGGACGCTCCTGGACTTTGGTCTGGCCCGCCAGTTCACCGACAGGGAGGGGGCGCTGCTGCACGCGCGCCCGCAGGCCGCCTTCCGCGGCAGCACCACCTACGCCTCGGGTGGGTGGGTTGTGTGTGTGTGTGTCTGTCTGTCTGTGTGTGTGGCGATGGCATGGCTGTGGTGTGGGGGAAGTGAGGTGGTGGGGGCGATGGAAGGGGAATGGCTGTGGTGTGGGGGGAGGAGCGCTGACATCCCGGGGGCGGCCCCTGCATTGCCACCCTGGCCAGCCATCTGAGCCAATTCCTTGCGGCCGCCCCCCTTGCCGCCGTGGGCTCCGCGCTGCAGTGAACTGCCTACAGGCGCAGGACCAGAGCCGGCGGGACGACATGTGGGGGTGGCTGTACTGCCTGGTGGAGCTGATTGAAGGTGAGCGGGCACAGGGGGCTGTGCACGTGTGTGTGTGTGTGTGTGTGTGTTGGGGGCAGGGTAGCAGACGGCTGGCAGCCACCGCCTGGGGGGGCTGCCGCCTGGCAGGCTGCCGCCTCTTGGCGCTGCCATCGACCTTGCAAGACCAGCAGCCGCGCCCTCTGTGCACCGCCGGCCCACACCTCCTCTGCCCCCTGCCACCGCCCGCCTGCCCCGCCGCAGGCACGCTGCCGTGGCGCGGCGACGGCGGCGGCGGCGGCGGGTGCGAGGTCCCTGGCGGCCAGCTGCTGCCGTCGCCGCCGCAGGACGCGTGCGCGGCTGGCGGCCTCAGCTCCCAGCCTTCGCTGCCCCTGGGCGGCGGCGCGGGCGGCGGCAGCGGCAGGCTGAGCAAGGATCTGGTGCTGCAGCGCAAGCTGGAATGCCTGGACCAGCCGCAGCTGCTCTTCTCGTCCATGGCCTGCCCCAAGGTGGGCCGCCTGCTGCCCCCCGGCCGCCCGCCTGCCGCACGCCTGCACTACTCCTGCCGTCGCCTGCCGCGCTCCTGCCAGGCTGAGTTTACACCCCGGCCAGCCGGGCGGCAGTGGCGGGCAGCGGCTGCGGGCGAGCCCGGCTGCCTTATGCTGTCGCCGCCGCTGGAGCCGCCGTCGCCGCCGCCGCCGCCGCCGCCGATGCTGACGCCACCTGTCCTCTGCCTGCGCCTGCGCCTGCGCCCGCTCCTGCGCCTCCAGTCGGTGTACGACATCAGCCACTACCTGCGGGGCCTGGGGTTTGGGGATGGTGTGGACTACCAGTTCCTGCGCGCACGCCTCAACGAGCTGGGCAGCGGCGAGGAGGCGCCGCCGCGCGCGCCACTCCTGGCGCAGCCGCCCGTCACGGCTGCCGCGCCGCCCGCCAACGGCCTGCACACCGGCGGTGGCGTGGGGGACCCGGCCGCTGCCGCGCCGGGCGGCAGGGCAGGGGACGGCGCCTCAAGGCAGCTGTCACGCGCCGCTTCGCCGGCCGCGCCGCTCGAGCGCCGGCCCTCGCGCCTGGGCCAGCCCGAGGCGGCCGCGGTGGCGGCCGCAGTCGCGGCGGCGGCAGGCAGGGAGGCCCAGCAGCCCGAGCAGCAGCAGCAGCAGCAGGGGGAGCACCAGCAGCTGCAGCAGCAGGCGGGCGCTTCTGGCCTGAGCAAGCAGCGCAGCCGCGATCGCAGCAGGGAACGGCGGGGCCGTGAGCGGCGCAGCCGCAGCCGCGGCAGGCGCAGCCGCAGCCGGGAGCGGTATGGCCGCAGCAGGAGCAGGGAGAGGTATGGGGGCGGCAGGCGCAGCCACAGCCGCGACCGCAGCCGCGACCGCAGCCGCAGCCAGGAGCGGGAGAGGGGTCGCGGCAGGGGCAGGCGGAGGCGCAGCAGCCGCAGCCGATCGCACGAGCGGCAGGGGCGGCGCGGCGGCGACGGCGCACGGCGGCGCGGCGCCAGCAGGAGCCGCAGCCGGTCGCCGCGGGGTGGCGGCGCCAGGCAGCAGCACCGCCGCGAGGGCAGCAGCGCTGGGGGGCAGGGGCCCACCCCCGCCCCCGCCGGCCAGCCAGCGGCAGGCGCAGCAGGCGAGCCTCCTGCGGCGGCGGCCCAGGCCGGCCCGGCGGGCGTCAGCAAGCACCAGGGCTTGTCAGAGGCGGATGCGCACCAGCATTACCGCGGCGTACTGGACTATGTGTCCGCGCTGAGGTGGGGTGCCAGCCAGCGCACCCTGGCACACCTGCTTGCTTGCTTGCTGAGCGGCTGCTGCCGGCGGGCCATTTGCGGCGGCGCACTGATTTGGTGTGTGTGTGGCACTCGCACCTTACCCCTCCCACCCTCCCACCCACCCACCCACCCACCACCATGCGCCTCCCTCCGCTACGCAGGCAGGGCGCTCTGTCGGAGCCTGCGGCGGCCGCCTGCCGTCAGATGCGGGCGCTGGAGCCGAGCGAGGCGGCGGGGGTGCTGTGCTGGGTGCTGGATGAGCTGGCCACAGGTCAGCATGCCCCCCTGCTGCTGCTGCTGCTGCGTCCCTCAGTGTGCCACCTGGGGACAGCCTTCCTCGGCGTCTGCTGTCGGCGCTCGGTGTGCGGTTTCTGGCGGCAGGCCGACAGTGCCTGCTTCCGTGCGTCCACTCCCCTCCCCACCCTGCTGCAGCCACCGACCCGCAGCACCTGCCTGTGGCCGCCGCCTTCTGCCAAGAAATTGCGGCCTTTGCTGCCGGCACAGCCAAGCGCTGCGTGGAGCGGTCGCGGCAGCAGCAGCGGTAGCAACGTGCGCCCTTTCCTGCCCTCTGTGCCGCTCATTGGGTGCCTGACTGCATTTCCTGCTTGCCAGCCTGCACTGCTGCATTTTTGATGAAACACACAAGCACTGCATGAGGCAGCAGCACCATGAGAGCAGCAGAACAAAGCAGCAGGAAAGCAAGCATGCCCTACAGAGTGTGCTGGCAGCCCTCCCATTCCCCCTTTCTGGTTGAATGTGTGGAGGTGGTGTGAGGCATTACAGGTGAAACAGGAAAGAATGTGTTTTTTGGTTGGCAGCGCGCTCAGCAGTGAAGGGTGGGAGTGGTGGTGGCACAGAGCGATGGGTGAGAAGAGAGGCAAGCAGCAGAGGAGCTGTGAAGAGCAGGAGGAAACAGTGAATGAAAGAGGGTGGTGAAATGGCCAAGGGATGTACAGGCAAATCAGGGAGAATCAGGGCAGGGGTGTATACATGGCTGCAGGTACAGGCTCAGTGGTGGTTGCCGGCGTGGTCGCTGCGCTGCACGTGGAAGAGCTCGGGGTTGGGGCACAGCAGGCCCTGGTAGGTGTGGCGGTCGTAGCCCACGGTGTAGGAGCGGGGGAAGTCGAGGTGCGGGGCGCGGGGGCGGCCATCCTCCACCGCCAGCCACACGCGCACCAGGTGGCGCTTCTCGTGCGCCGCCTCGCCATCCTCGTAGGCGGAGCGGCGGTGCAGCAGGGTTGCGTTGTTCATGAAGCAGCAGTCGCCGGGCTGCAGGTAGGTCTGGAACTCAAACCGCGGGTCTGAGGCAATCTCGATGAACATATCAATCGCCTCCTCCATCTCCGCCGTCATGGGGCCCAGCAGCTCAGGCCACTGCTTGTGGCAGGCGCGGGTGTGGCCGGGGTGGAAGTGCACGCTGAGGCGGCCCTCGTGGTAGTGGAACACAGGCATCTCCCACACGGGGCAGTCGCCGGGGCGCACATCCTGGTACTTGGTGCGGTCGCGGTACCAGCCGGGGCCCGCCAGGCATGCCACCAGGTCGCCACGCCCGCGCCGCAGCATTTCGTTGTGCACAGCCAGGGCCGAGGACCAGCCGCTGACGCCGCCGGACTTGGCCTGGCTGATGCACAGCAGGCCCAGCACGTCGGCCTGCGCGTCGGTGTGCCAGTCAAACTCCAGGTTGGTGGCGTGGCCCTGCTGCGCAGACTTGCCGTCGCTGCCGCCCTGCACAAACTTGGCACCGGGGGCAACCTTGAAGCCCTGCGCCGCCTTGATGTGGCTGATCAGGTTGCCCTGCTTGTTCCAGGGGGTGCGGTACCCGATGTGCGCCGCCAGGCCCAGGTAGGCAGCCAGGTTCTGCCACTCGCTCCAGCGCTGCGCCGGCAGGCCGCGGATCACCAGCACGCCGTTGCCGTGCAGCAGGTTGTGCTTCTCAGCCGCCAGACGCGCCTCCAGCGCCGCAGGCAGCGGGAAGTCGGTGGGGCGCTTGAGGGCGGTCAGGGTCACGCCCGCCGCCTGCAGCGCCGCCACGCGCTCCTCCACCGCCGCCACGTCCTCCTGGCTCAGCTGCAGCAGCCACTCAGACTGCCGCTGCGCCAGGTCGGCTGCCAGCCAGGCCTGGGGGTCGTCGATGATGGTGTAGGGGCGCACGCAGCCCTGGGGGCCGCTCTCCAGGGTCACGGGGCCGGTGGGCACCTTGAGGCCCTCCAGACCCTCAGACTCCACGCGCACCATGGCCTTGCCCTTGGAGAGGCCGCGGCTCAGGGCGGCGGACAGGCAGCGCTGCGCGGGCTCCTCAAAGGGGGAGTCGCCCAGGGCCATGGGGGCAGACTCGCTGCAGCAGGCGGGGAGGGTGGGCGGGGAGGGTGGGCGTGGGGCAGATTGTCAGTGAAGGGTGCAGGCCAAGCAGGGTGCCTTCAGCCAGCTGATCCATTCCCAGCCAGACAAACAGCCAGCCAGCCAGCCAGACAGCCCAACCAGGCAAACAATAAAGCTGCTTGAACCAGCTGAACAACTGCTTCCCACCCAACCCACCTGACGCGTGCCAGGCGGGCCGACATGCGGCACGACAGGGACTGCGTCAGCTGCTCGCAGCCGGTGGCGTGGACGCTGCTGGTCTGCTGCACGGTCGCCATGTTGCACACGCAGGGGATTGGGGTAGGGGTGTGTGCTGGGAATAGATCGCGAAGAGCAGGAGGAGAGCGGGTTGTGAGCGCTGGGTAGACTGTGGGGTGTGATTGATGTGAATTAAGGATGCAGGGGCGAGACCCGCCCTGATATAGCGAGGTGGTTCAGGTGCCAGATGGCGCGGCGGGCGCCGCCAGCACACCATGTGGAGGGCGCGCACCACCTGGCGGGCGGGGGGTTGGTGCAAACTCGAATTCAGCGGGATACCTCCATGTATTGAACGTGTCAGCGAAGGAAACGCCTTGAACCAAGTGCCGGGCTGATCAGGGTTTGGGCGGTGAGAGGCCGCCTGACAGCCTGGCATCTGCCCGGGGCAACTTTATCTGCGAGGCAAATCTCGGCGCGTCTGAACACTATTTGACTCCCCTGTGAGGCCTGCACAGGCCCCGCTCGTCTCTCACATGCGAACAGCGGGGGTGGGGTTGGTCGCGCTTGCAGCCTGAGGCAGTTACTTTTGCCGTTTGCCGGTCTCATACAACAGCTTGCAGCGCAGCGCAGGGCATTGGAGGCCCGCCTGCAGCCCATCGCTCCCGGAGTGAGCCCTGCTCTTGAGCCTGTGGTACAGACAATTTGGAGGTGCGCCGATGTGGGAATTGGATGGTGCTCCTGCAGCGAGCGCCGCCTGCATCCCTGGCAACCCTGCCGCCGCCGCCGTCAGCGCCGCTCCTTGGAGTTTGCCTATTTGCCTCTGGATTATTTTTGGGTATTTATTTAAGACGGGCTCTGTGTCACGACCTGCGCCCTCCACCGCATCTGCAGCAGGCAGCCATGGCGATGTCTTTCGAGCCCATCCTCATCCTGTACGCCTTCCTGGCGGTGGTCCAGCTGATTCTGACCATGCTCCCCGGGGTGTGGTACACGCGCAAGGTGCGGCATGGCCCTTGGAATAGCCCCTGCAATTCATGGAGACCCCTCTAATTCATGTAGACGAACCCACATGCAATATCAGGGACACTCGGGCCTGGAGATGTGGCAATGCATCGACATGAATGAGCGCAACCCTGCCTGCCCGCCCGCCCGCGTGCCGAGCAGGGGACGGTGAACGTGGAGATGCGGCGGGCGCTGAGCGGCATGGCCTTCAACCTGCTGCTGCCCGCTGTGGTGTTCATCAACATCGCCGGCCAGGTCACCGCAGACACCATCGTCAGCTACTGGCCCTTTGCGATGAACACATGCGTGAGGTGCGTGGCAGCTACAGGCAGCTGCGCCAAGCCGATGCGTGAAGCGCAGCCATGGATGCCTGGAGCATGTGGCTGCGGCTCGGGCGTGGAGGGCCCCCCACAGCAGAGCCAGCCGCTCGCGCGCCGCACTGCACGCGGCCAGCCTGCTGCGCTGCGCTGCCCCTGCCTGGCTGCAGCACGCTGGTGGGCATGGGGCTGGGGTGGGTTGTGAATGAGGTGGTGGGCACCCCGCGCCACCTGCGATACCACGTGGTGGCGGCCTGCGGCTACGGCAACCTGAACAGGCGCGTGCCTGCCGGCGGCGGGTGGGCTGGCTGGGGGAGATGACCCTGTGTCTGTGTCTGTGGATCGTGTGTGTGTGGGGCGGCGTGGGGGCCAGTTGGGGGGGCCTCCACTGGCGGCGTGTTGGCATCCAACCGCCAGCCGCGCGCCTTGTGTGGCCCGGTTTGATCAACCACTGGCGTGGCCCGCCCCCCCCTGCCCGCAGCCTGCCGCTCATGATCACCACCGCTGTGTGCGACCAAGAGAAGATGCCTTTCTACCAGGGTGGGTGGGTGGGTGGGTGTGGGTGGGTGGCGGGCAGGCGGGATGGGATGCATGCTGAGCAGCGCAGCGCCTCCTCGAGGCCGCACAATCTCCGCTGGCGCCGCCGCTGCATGCCTCAGCACGCCCCCACATCCACGCCCGCGCCCGCGCCGGCCCGCGGCCCGCCTTACTGCTGCAGCACTGGGCAGCGAGTGCGTCACCGTTGGGTGGGGTTACGTGGCCGTGTCCAGCGCTGTGGTCCAGATCTTTGGATGTGAGCCCCCGCCGCGCCGCGCCGCATGGCAGCAGCGGCAGCGGCAGCGGCAGCGGCGTGCATGCCGCAGCCGCAGCCGCAGCCGCGCCACGCCGCAGGCTCTGCGCCCCGTGGGCCATGGCGGGCGCTTGCAGGCGCCCTGCGCCTGCGGCCCTCGCCGCCTCCTCGCTCATCCCGCATGCTACCCCCCTGCTGCCGCTGCCGCCGCCGCCCGCTGCTGCCGCCTGCTGCAGATCCGATGGCCAAGTGGCTGCTGAGGCGGCGTGTGGCGCCGCGCTCCTTTGTGGAAGTGCTGCGCGACATATCCACCATCTCCCTCAAGGGCATGCCGCGCCCACCCAGCATGAAGGAGGGCGAGGTGGGGCAGGCGGTGGAGCTGGCTGCGGCTGGGGCCGCACCGGCGCGGCCGCACAAGGCGGCCTCCGCGCCGCACGGCTACCCCCGAGGCCAGCCTGCTGCTGTTGCTGCTGCTGCTGCTGCTGCCCAAGCTGGGGAGCTGCCGGAGGCGGTGGAGGAAGACAAGGCGCTCAACGGCGCCGAGGCGGGCGGCGGCGCGGCCGCGCGCGAGGGCAGCGGCGGCGGCGGCGGCAAGGGCGGCGGCGCCGGCAGCGGCGCTGACAGCGACACGGACGACGAGGCGGCGGCGGCGGGCGTGGTGGGATG